CCAATCTTTGGCAAGAAACTTTTATCCTTTTTGTGATACCTGTACTATTGTCCAATATGGCAACCGAGAAATTAATAGAATTTGAAGAAAATCTTCTCCAAAAGAGAAAGTCCTTAACTGCAATGCTCTTATTGTTGTGTTTGGTAAGACACTAGCCTGTGTAAATAAATACACAGGCTACTAAGGCACAGRCTTAGTAAGTTTACAATCTTATCTAGTTTTTCTTTGTAATTCATGTCCTTGAAAATTGAAAATTCATCCTTAAAAAGTCCTTGAATTTTGTGTGAAAAACTCTGTACGAACCCTGTACAAATGGTTTATTTTTAGAAGGTGCTTTTCGATTGGCGCAAAATCAAAGATGGCGAATTTCCGTATGTAAGGAAATCGCGCAAAAGGCTGAAAAGGTCCTTTTCATGTCAGACGACATGAAATCATGACAACATGTGAGATGTGACAGTCAGAAAATTCGTGGTTGACAGTTGATCTTTTGACTGAAATTTCAATAAAAGTCATTGAATTGTTTTGTTTTCCAGAATTCAAAAGATTAATACCCTGTAAATAACACTATAGATATATCCAGATATCTTAACCTGTTATATTACTCGGGTAGGATCCTCCAGATTATAGTTTTACCACATTCTGTGAAGATATGGTAATATAAATTTAGTTTAATTGATCATATCTTTTAGGGTTTAATTTCCAAACATGAGGTGAAAATGAAATGTTAGCACTGTCGATGTTTCGTATCATGGGCTTTCATTTCCTCCAAATGACATTCTTTTTCCCTTCTCATCAAGGAGTCAGCTGCAATGTTTTCCTTGAGCAAAGCCGCTCTCCGGCTATTGATATTATCTCATGAGGTGTTATAACTGCGCTCAAATATCAATAAATGCAAAATCTTTTTTTTTTTTATAAAAAAATATAATTTTGCAATCGTTTTTCTGATAATTGTATACCTTATAAGACTCATTTTTTATATTATGAAGCTGGTATACTGTAACGATGGGCTGAATTGTTTTAGACAAGTATTGGGAACCCACCTGACACCCCCTGGATCTCCCCCTGATAGAAAGTACTAATCATTTTGTACTGTTTATTATTTTGCTCTAGTCGTGCGTCAGAATGTTTTACTTTCACTTCAAACTAGCTGTTATCATAGAGCTTTCATAAGCTTGGTTCTAGTACTACTAAATGACCCTCACTGAAACCTTAACTAATGGGACACACCTTTAGTGCAACAGCCTTATAGGTCCACAAATCAGACCTTTTTACCAATACGGCCGCCATCTTGAATTTTGAAGAAATCATGACAAAAGCACACATTGTCATATAGAATATAACCGAAACATTTCTTTCACTGTTAATTTCGGGTTTCAGAAGTATAGATTAATTGGCTTCAAAGCAATCAAATGTTATCTTTTTCATTTGATTTTCACATTTTAAGATATGATATTATTAAAATCTTATAACATTCTAGAATTCCTTGTCTAGAATCCCTTGTCTATGAATTATTAGCTTAGAGTTCCCTGATCATTCCATAGTATCTTCCTAAATCAATACTTAAAACAATACAATTCAAGATGGTGGACATATTTTACTATTGGTAAAAAGACTATCGAATCGCTTTGGGAAAAATCAAGGTTATGAAAACCTCTACTGMWGGAWACTTAGTTTTGATACTTCAAMATGRAGGTGATTGCACTTGTGTTCGTGTCCGATTGTCACTTTGGTGTCCGGGTGATGAGGTTTCAGTTTTTTGGAGAATATTTAGTTAGAGAATCTTCTTTTTTATTTGTCGTTATTGCAATTGCTTGATGACTCTGTGATGACCCATCGGATTCAGACTCTTGGTATTTTCATATATCGGCTCTTCCATGTGGGCCATGGAAGAAGTGAGTTTGCCCTGTAAAAAATCAATTCAAATCAAAGACCTTGAAGATTAAAACTCAAAAAAGACAAAATGTTTAGTTTTTATATCCGTATTTTAAATAATAAGATTAATAAAATAAAGATTAGACTCCTATAGCTCCCCATTTCTCCTTATCGTACTTTGTTAACCATTATAATTTGATTGGTTATCAGTAGTCTCTTCTAACAGCCGCGACTTCCGGTCTCGTCAATTTTCCTCGGGCTGTTAAAAGAGACTAGGTTAGCAGTGAATATGAGAATATTTCAACCTGGATTAATTATGCAATTATACTTTGAATATATCTAAGCCAAAGACAAAGCATTTCAATTCCACTAATTGTTTAACCTACAGAAATCGGGATCTTACAGCACTCGACCAAAAAAAACACTCACCGGTCTAACGACGACATTAGAGATATGGTAGGCCGATTCTTCACCAAAACCTACACGTTGCTGGGATCTTTTCTGTGGAACGAGAGACTGGTAATTGGAATCATTACCAGCCATGCGGACTGCATCTGTGAAGGTAAGATGATTTATACAATCAAGAGGGAGCGATTGMGTGTTTTTCACTGTCCATATGATTAGTGTAGTCCCCATGCATCCATGAACCTTTGCGGTCGTTTTTGTTTTACAAATGATGCTTTCTGATTGGTTTAAAGTCAATTTTCGTATGTGATAAAATCGTTCAAAGGCCTTTACAGTTCTTATCTCAGATCGACTTCATATTCACAGTAGACGGAAATGTCCAATAATGTGGATAGGATGTGAGTTCTTCGCATTGAACCGCAATGCATTCTTGGGAATCTCAGTTGACGTAATCTGTATTGCAACGGAGTTCAATGTGCGTGTGTTAACAGGCACAACGGAGCATAATTTTTATTTTGATGGGGGGTGGGAGGCTAAATTGGAACGGGACAACTTTCGAGAAGCGACAGTCGAATGTTTTCAAAATGGCGGCCAAAGTATTGGGGGGAGGGGTCTAAGCTTCCCCAAGCAACACCGGTTCCGCGGTGCCTGGTTATAGCTGTCCAATAAGTGCAAACCGACAAAACGTGTTGGAGTTACGATTCGATGCAGACTGCTTTGAATCAAAAGTGAATAAGTGTGCACTGGGCCTGTACAAGCCATCGAAAATAAACGTATGATCAATCAATATGATTTTATAAACAGACTAAGTAAGTCCTTCAAATCAAGCATCATGTTCTAAAATAAGCAACAAAGTAATAATAATAATTACTTGTTTTTCTGTGCTGTGGTGGATAATCTTGTTGCTGGTCAGAGGTTTCTCCTGTATTGTCGCGTGCKCCCGCTAAATCTGTCGTTATAAAAGAGTTTAATTTTCCGCTAAATCTGTCGTTATAAAAGAGTTTAATTTTCTTGGCATTTGTACAGGGCTCGAAATAACGACCAAGCAAATGCTGGACAAGATGTCCTTCCAAATTCATTTTTGGAAGGTCATGTCGAGTTTTGAAAGGACAAAAACTTTATTATACTGTTATGTTCTCTTAATTCATAGGTTTTTGTATCCAGAAAGATCGACAAGCATTTTATTAATGGATGTAAAAGATTTTATATGGTAACTGAGAAGTGATTTGTCTAAAAATGTGGCAGGTCAATCTGTCCTTTCAAAACTCGATTTGCCCGGTCATCTAGCGAATTTGGAAGGACATTGTCCTTTGACCGGCCGTTATTTCGAGCCCTGTTGTATGAGATTAGATTAGGTCTGTGTGTATAAGAGGCATGGTTTTCAAAGAAATGACACCTAATATGGCGTTTTTGTATCATCATCATTCCCTTTTCTGAGTCTACACCTTTGCAGCGTTGCTGCCTTGTCCTTCACTCACTTTACATCGCTAAGAAAACGCATCGGAGCTGGCAGAGACTTCAACTTATAATTTGAGAGTTTATGTCATTCTGAGTACCTGAGATCTCGATCTGGGGATTGTCATCGGTTTTCCTTTCTTTCTTTCTCCTCTTCGTCACCACATGATACACAATTTGACCAATCAGAGCGACGATGGACATCACCAAAAGGACGGCTAAACCAATCACCAATGGATCAATGGAATTCTTATCAGAATGCCCTGAAGAATTTATAAATGCAAAAAAACCTGAATGTAATGAAATGACAAACGGTATCATCTTTAGAAAAGTTGTCACTTCTCCTAATCAAGTTTATCTTCTGGCAGATGAAACAATTCATCGATACTAAATGTTTGTGGTTTCCATTGAGTATTCTACCTTGTGTATGGCCTTGCACACCAGGTTTCGTTGTAAAAGATACGAATGGCGCGTCGCTGATAACCCTTTTCTAAAAAAGGTAAAAAGTAAAGAAGCTATGAGCTCAACAACATAGTCCTTTGCACAAACCAGCAAGCAAATGAGCAAAAGTGTCAAGAAGTCTGTAAGCAGACATTCAAGAAAGGTATGCAAAAGAATATATCATTACATAGATATCACAAAATGTATCCTTAACCATGATTATTATTACCTCATTCGATATCTTTGCGACGACTCTCACGTAAACTCTATAGTTACATCCGGGTTCTAATGGTGTGTTATTGTAACCATGGTAATTCAGACCATCACCAATGGTGAACGTAGAACTGGTAGTTGGTATCTCAGCAGCGATGTAAGAATGGTTCACTCGCATGTCTTTGGACGTGAAGACTTCTTCGTCTGTCTTATCGACGGTAACATGATACCAACTGAATATTAAATACAAAAATTATGTTTGTGTTTGATAGTAGTTTACACTTGATAATAAGAATTACGCCTACCGGTTATGAGATATTGGCTTCCTCTGCTTTTTGCGAAGAAAGGTGATTTTTGCGGATTTCTGTTGGATGGATCTGCTGTCGCTTATTTGAAATTCTGGAGGATTTTCCGCTGAAAATGAAGTTGTTGCAAACCTCACAAAGCTTGATTTTCCAAAAATCTTTTTCTGAAAACAAAACAAAATTTCTAGCCGTCTTTTTTTGGTATTTATTGTACGTCCATCGTGCAGGGAGTGCTTCCAGATCCTTGGCATAAATGGAATATGAGACTATTTTTGGCAAATCAATAGTGTAAGCATTGTCTGAAACTGCAACAGCTTTTTTTGTGTGTGTCAATCCAAAAGATTACCCGCGCAATTTTGAGGTCAATCGCTGGAACCACGAAGATCCTGTACTCGCCCCTGAACATAACATAGTCTACAGGAAGAGGTGGACGTCTAACTATTTACAGATACTAAACATCAAAGAGAGTTGATAATTTTCGCTGTTTCTAGTTACCCCATCCATTGCTATGGTAACGATCCTCACGTGAACCCTGTACACACATCCGGGTTCTAATGGTACATTATGATAACCATGGTAATAGAGACTATCACCGATAGTGAAACTACTAGCATCATTTGGACTGGCTGGAACCTCTGCAGCGATGTAGGAATCATTAAACACTGTCTTGGTGATGGTAGAACATGTCTCCAAGGAAGCATTGGTGCAAGAAGTTGTAGGTGATGGTATCTCTAGACCCTTTTCCACTACAAATTGATATGTGCTAAAAAAAATTCAAAATAATAAAAATGAAATAATAAGGATATTGCCAACTGTTTCTGTCAAACAGACAGTTTTTTTACCTTTTCAATCGTTCGTCCAATGGCGTAGCAGCTTTGGCGAGGTTTAGAATCACTGCAGAATCTGTGATGTCGTTACTTGAGCTGATTTGAAAGTGAGGAGCATCCGCTTTCCAAAGGATAGCAATTAAATAATATGTTTACCAAATTTAATAATCATGACTTTAGCGTAAATGCTACATGATTTTAAATATATAGAAACAGTTTTCGTTAAAATACTTTACCTAACTTGCACGTGACGGAAGCGTCCTGGTCATGTGTACAATTGCTTGTCTGCCACCAACCTGAATGTCTACAGTCAACAATTGAATCTTCTTCTCCGTTGCATTCAAGGTCACTGAGCCAAATAGTACCATTTCCAGGAATCGTGAACATGTGACTTACTCCATCATAGCCAAGCATGCGACATATGACTTTACCATCGTTCGTACCCAGTCCTTTGTTACATAGAGTGCCCCATGTCTTAGCATAGCGAATACCAACTAGACCAGAATGAGGTGCGGTACCGGTTTCCAGACGGATTTCAACAGCTGTTTTACCTGGTAGAAAAATAAAAAGCGGGAGAAAGGGAAACACTCTATTGAGTGATTGACGAAGCAGGCGCACTTATGAGAAACTGGTCGAATAGCTACTAGTTCAGTCTAGTTTAGACTATTTGAATTTACCCTCGACATTTCTATGTCAATGTAATGGACAATAAATTAACTACATATCGCATTGAAGGATGCAAATCTGGAAATGATAAAGGAAAAGAGCATTAGAGCAGCTTTTCCAGCCCTTACGTCTGTCTACATGATGCCTTTTATAACACTTAGAAGTGTTGTAGATTTCAAACGTACCTTGTGTCTTGCATGTGATCACAGCGTCAAAGTCACAAGTCGTCTGCCACCATCCTGTGCGACTGCAATTCAGTATTGAAGCTTCAGTTCCATTACACTCAACACCACTAAGCCAGACACGACCATTAGCAGAGCTTGGTATCCAAACAGCGTAAACATCAACAACGTTCACATATCCAAGCATTCGACATATCACTTTCACATCGGGGTAGTCAAGTCCCTCGTAACATAGAGTACTCCATGAATTACCATAGCGAACACCAACTCGACCAGAATGGGACGTGGTGTCGTTTTCTAGTCGTATCTGTAATGTCACGCGTTCTGTAAGCATAGGAGTATAAATTGGAAATATCTATTCAAGAAAGAGCTCAGTCCAGTAAATCTTTTTCCGTTTAAAAAAATATACATTGTTGGAAGAGAAATAAATCTTTGTAAGTTAGTAAAAAGTACTTACCTTGATGACTAGAACACCGAACTGCACGGTCACGTATTAAATGTACATCATAGTATTTCCGGAAGAAGTAATCATGATAGTCGAAATAATATTCACAGTGGTCGAGTGATCTTTCGTAGCCTTTGCAATAGTAAGATGTCGTTAAACCATTTCCAGACACATTAGCTCGTCCAGTCCATGATGCACTGCGGTATCTCAACATACGACAAACTATTTTAGCAGCTGTCAAGCTCCATCGCCGGAAGCGTCTCCAAGGTATATTCATGTTCATAACTGTTCCCCAGACCCCTGCAGAGCCAATTTCCACACGGCCTTCGTTCAGAGAGACGCCGTCCATCAAACGAACAGCAAGTCTAGATCCTTGAGCGAAGAAAGTATGTTTAAATCAAGCATTTTTTTTCTTTATAGGTAATAATTATTATTTCTTACTTTAAATAAGTTCAACGTCTCACTTTCACAAATATATAAAATTTTACTTCTCACAAACAATGTCTTATTTTAACTTCGGCTTAGATATTTTATTTCACTACATCTAAAAACAGGTTTTTAGCAGAAGCTCAGAGGTTTTAGTACATATTTGACAGCAGAAGAGTACTGTGGTCCCCCCTCTCGTCCTCCTCTTATGGCCTTTTTCAACGTTGATACTTATAATTAAGGGGAAAATGTATGGAAACTGTACTAAATGTCATTATAATTCAACAACAAATTTCCTCTACTCTCATTGGTGGAGAGTCGACCACGTGACGCGATAGTGGTCGCTATGGAGAGGTACTATCAATGCATAGAGGGCGCGCTGCTTTAGAAAATTTCATAAAAACAATAGATAACAAACAATAGATCTCGGGCATTTTGCTGTGATAGTTGGCCTTGGAAATATCAGTTATGGATCAATTAATAAGTTTGTCTTTCACAAAATAGAAGTACTGTACCACTATATTTCAAAGGATTTCCTGTAGAGGGGGTAGCTAGTAAAATACCTGTATGTGGTTTGCAAACTATCCAGATAGTTCCTTCTTCCCGAAAACTTGAAGAGCTGACGTCAGCTCCACACTCTTCCGTTGTATTCTCAAAACCACGACAGCGCATGTCAACATCATAGCTTCTCCTTTCTTGGATGTTTATGAAGGCAATAATAGCTTGATTGTACCCCATCATACGACATATTACGTGAGCATCATTCAGCCGCGGACCATTTTCAAGGTAAACTGGTCTCCATGAACCATAGTAGCGCATTTCCAGTCTTCCTGCATGAGGAACTGGTCCATCAACAAGTCGATATGCAACATTCGGTGATCCTGAAAAAGATGAATGTATCGCGTTAGTCAAAATAATGAAAATGGAGCGTTGTAGTACAAAGTCTGAACTATCAAGGAATATTACGCCATATGACACTTAACTTTTCAACTTGTTTCAATGGCACATTCCAATGGTTTTAATAAACTACTAACTGTTTCCTTATAAATATGTAGATAGATGGCGTAATCGTTTTAGGAAGTGGCTGATCCCATTAAAGAGTGCTTAATACACATAAAGTGTAGAGCTAGTTATATATAATAGATATATTATAGATTAAATACTGTCTGATGAGTGCGTAGCACGAAACTCGGAGTTACAGCAAAATCTTGCCTCTTTGATATCATATATAGATAGATGGCGTAAATATAAAATCACATCACAGTCCTCTAAGGCTGAATTACTTGATGTATTTCCGGCGTTGTCAATTCAAAGAAATTCGAACAAAAATATCAATCGAACGCTAATCACTAGTTCGATAAATTCTCGATTGTTTCGATAATCCGACATAATAGCAGGACAAGAATGTTATGATAACGATTTCCAAACAAAAATCGATCACTCCAATAAGTCGAACTGGCCACCCAGCGTCCTTTTGCTGTCTTTGAAATGAGAAAATATTTGCGGTTAAGGCTATTCCGACCGACCTATAATAGCCGGTAAATAACATTTTTATTTTTTTATTTGTATTTTATGCAACTTTGCTCGCAGCCTAGCTGCAGGATACCGTCGGACCGGGCAGATCGTGAAAAACCGGACTGCGCGCTAGCCAATCACAGCGCGCGAATAACTAGGATACCGGACCGACAAAATAATATTCTCTTGAACTAAGGGTATCGCCAGCGCGTACGCATCCCGACGGCAAAACGAATGAAATACTACGGTCGACGAAAACAAGTAAAATTTACCTGATTTACAAACAACTCCAGCTAGGTTGTTATCTGGACAAGTCGCTTTTCTCCAGTTAAGGTTCAAGCATGATTCAATATAGGGTTCAAAACCATTGCAGCTATAGCTGGACAGCCAAACATCTCCAGATCCTTTATAGTAACGCATTCTTACAGCATGACCATCAGGATAACCAGCCATTCGGCAAATGACTTTAGCAGCTGATGAATCCCAACTCGAGCCGCAGAGGTTTTTCCAGACACCTTTGTACAACAATTGAACTCGACCAGCATTAGGCACATCACCAATCAGTCGAACTTTGACAGGAGGACCTGGATTTAATGACAGAATCGTAACAACGAAGACAATCGTCATGATATATCATTACAACGGGAACGAAAAGAGTTAGGGAGGCGGAAAACGAATTTTATTCAGGTGAACGCTGCTTCGGTTGTTTTTCAGAGTGAGTTCCATTCAGCATTTCCTATATCTATATTTGTGAGGCCTAAAATGGGCGTTGGCTTGGCACCCTAGATACCCCCTTTCAAAATCAAGACGTGGCATATGTACCTGTATAGCACACGATACCAACATCCTGGCTGTGATTGCAGTATTGTTTACCCCATCCTAAGTGATCGCACTGATTTAATGACGATTCACCGCCGTTACAATCTACACTTCCACCAAGCCAAATTGGATCAGGTCCTTGTCCTAAGTGCCTAGACCTGACTGCTCTCTCATATCCAAGCTGTTTACAAGCTACATTTGTTTCAGTTGACTCCCACCTATCATCACATATTGTTCCCCACTTTCCATTGTAATAAATCTGTAGAACACCTTGGACTAATGACTGTGAAGATGTTTTACGTAGCAACCTCAATGGCGGCGCTGTTCCTGGAATGAGAAGTGATTAGTTGATATTTATTTTATGATATGATGATTAACAGTGATTTAATAATTACAATTCTAAAAGAAATTTTTGCAGCGACGAAAATACCTGTATTACACACGATACCAACATCATGACTATGATTGCAGCCATGAACACCCCATCCTCGGTGTTGGCACTGGTGTAGGGACGATTCTTTACCGTTACAATTTACATTATCAAGCCAAATTGGACCAGATCCTTGTCCTAAGTACTTAAAGCTCTTTGCATCTTTAAATCCAAGTTGTTTACATGCCACGCTTGTATGAGGCATTTTCCATGTGCGATTACATATTGTTCCCCATTGACCATTGTGATAGATCTGTAAAACACCTTGAACTAATGACGGAGAGAATGTTTTACTCCGTAACCTCAATGGCGCTGTTCCTAGATGTAAGGAAATAACGAAGAGATATTTAAAGATATTCTCGTATTATACTGACGACGTTCATATACCTGCATAGCACACAACACCAACTTTCCCTCTGTGTAAGCAGTTATGTTTACCCCATCCTCGGTGTTGGCACTGATCCAGGGATGATTCATCACCATTACAATCTACACCATCAAGCCAAATTGGACCAGCCTGAGATCCTCGTCCTAAGTACTTGGACTTCGCTGCACTCACGTACCCAAGCTGTTTACAAGCGATGTTTGTTTCTTTCATGCCCCAGTAGTAAAAACATATTGTTCCCCATGTACCATTGTAATAGATCTGTAAAATACCTTGCACTAATGACGGAGTGGATGTTTTGTATAGCAACCTCAATGGCGCTGTTCCTGTAAATGGAGATTACCATACAACATTAATAATAATCAGCTGTCACTGGAAACAATCGCGCGCCATAAAGGTTGTTAATTTGGTGTAAATATGATTTAAGTGTTCCAAAATTTAATGGAAATCATTTTCATCAAATTTACAGAATTTTGGACACTTACATCATATTTACACCAAATTTACGATCTTTAAAGCGCCCGATTTTTTCCAGTGTGTTTATGGAAACTATTAACTATCAATTTCTTAAAAAAACAGACTACCATCGTGACTGGCACACTTATGATTCATGGGGTTTATAACCACTATAACCTTATTTGGTGTGTAAATGTTTGCATCGCGAACAAGAGTTTGTGCGAMAAACCTAGAAATGAGAGACCATTTACAGGTCAAATGAAAACATGTGCAGGAAGCGTCAATAATACCGGCCGTGTGAAAGAACCTGAATAGTCAAACGAGAATAGTTTCTTTGAGAAGGTATTTCGTTATACCGTCGATCTACATTCATCGTTGTTCGCGCAACGAAATTCACGAAACACAGGTTTTTTTTTGCAAAAAAGTATTATTTGTAATATGTAGTGCATAATCTAGTAAGCAGCTATGAAACCACAAGAACGAGAAAAAAAAGCTGAAACCGCTGCAAATGCTCAAAATTATACTGGAATAAAATGATATCGTTTTGCAATTTAGGTACAATGCCAACGAATTTCCACGAAATGTTTTCACATCATATTTATGCCAGGTTTTTTTCTGTGTAAGGTAGTTTTTCTAACTATTTCCATTGTTATTATAAGTGCCATTGCGTTCCGTACTAATATCTTTTCTAACGATTACATCGATTCTTGACATCAATACTTACCAAATGCGTAGCAAGTATAAACAGCTAAAAACCAAACAAGAATAACGTTAACTCGAACTTTTTCCATTCCTAAAAAGCCCAACAATTTGGAATTCACTGCTTCACTTGCTAAAGCAAACTACAGTCTTTGATGTCCTCTCAGCTTATGTTGTGTTTTTTTTCGAAATGTATAAACCATGAAGTTTCAGTGCATCGAAGCTGATACCCTATTAGACGTAGTTGACTGACCAGGGGTACGCACAGTGGTAATGGTATTCGATAGACGTTACACTAGTGTACTTCTACTGGACAATTTTGAGTATTTTGCGTTTGGAAAATGACCTCAAAGTTCCAAAAAAACGCCCCACACAACATTCTGTGGAGATATGATGATCTAAGATTAATTTAATTAGTCATATCTTTCAGGGTTTGCATTCTAAATATAGGTTAAAACGAAACGTTCGCATTGCCGATCTTTCGGTTCACATGGGCTTGCTTAAACGGATGATTTTAAAGGCATGCTACCACCCAAGAATCTTTGCGATCATTCTTCTGTTTTACAAATATTTTCTCGTTGGAAGGTGTTTTCCGATTGGATCAAAATCAAAGATATCGAACTTTCCTATGTGACCAAATCGCGATAAGGTGTTTGCGATAAGGTCTTTGCATGCACATCGGCTTTTAAYACTTTCGTGCCAGCTTTCGAATTMGAGCTACATGAAATAATGACAACTTGTGACAGTCAGACAATTTGTGTTTGAAAGTTCATCTAGTCAATCAGACGATCAAAAAACTTTTAGACATGTTTTGACCAAAACATCAATAAAACAAAAAAGTAGATGAAATGGACGGTATGAATTAAAAAGGTTAAATGACCATTTAATAACCCTGCATATACTAGATATCAACACGTATTATGGCCCGGAAAGGGCTCTCGAGACTACTTTTAACCGCAYATTCTGTAAAAATATGATAATTGATCATATCTTTTAGGGTTTGAATTCTAAACATGAGGTTGAAATGAAACGTTCTTCGCACTGCTGATGTTTCGGTTCATGGGCTATTTTTCCTTTTTTCTTTTCTCGTCAAAGAGTCGGCCGTTATGTTTTCCTTGAGCTCAGCAGCTTTCTATTCATATTGTATCATTAGGAGTTATAATTGCGCGCCAAACGTGGTCCAAGTATCATGACATATGCGCGAAATATTTTTCTGAAAAAACCATCTCATCGTTTTTTTCTGTATATATACCTTTTGAAGAAATAGGATGTCCAGGGGACAAAAGCAAATATTGTCATATAGAATAGTAACGAAAAATTTCTTTCGCTGATAATTTCGATCTTCAAAAGTATAAATTCATTCTTCAAAACATTCAAATGTGTCATCTTTTTTATTTGATTTTCCACCTTTAAGATATGATATTTAATCTCATAGCATTCTAAAGGCCTTCAGTCCAKGAATTTCTTGTTTACTTCCGGTTTGAGCATTCCATAGTTTCTCATTGAATCAATACTTAAAGGGCTACTTGGACGAAAATTGCGAAACATTAGAAAAGACTTGGAAATCAAATAGATCTATCCATATGGGTCTAATAATCATGAAGCAACAGATTTCAAGAAGATATTGATACAAATCCTTGATAATTTGGACAAAAATTGTTGGAGTAGATGACGTCATTTACTCCATCCTTTTGTTCTTCTATCTTTTGAATCRAAATATATCTGATGTGGGATAATTCCAAAACAAATATTTTCCCACAATGGAATTTTAATTTGATTATCTCTAAGCCAAGTTCAAAGTATTTCAATTCGGATAATTGTTTAACCTACAGAAATCGGGATCTTGYAGCACTGGACCCAAAAACCACTCACCCGTGAAACGACGACATTAGAGATGTTATATCACTCTAATAGTGGTAGGCGGATTCTTCACCAAAGCCTCCACGGGATCTATTCTSAGGGATGAGAGACTGATAATGAGAATCATGACCAGCCAAGCTGACTGCATCTGTAAAGGTAAGATAATTTATACAATCAAGAGGGAATGCGTGTTTTTTTCACTGTATATTCAGAGAGGTAGTTTTCTCAACATTCATCGAAGAACCTTTTTCGATTGTTTCTTTTGTTTTACAAATGACCCTTTGTTGAAAGGTGCTTTCTGATTGGTTCAAAATGTATTATTATTATCAACCCTATTCTAGACAACTGAAGGTATACTCTATTCAATGCACGAAGGGAGTAGGGAGATATGGTTCGTCATTRTTTACATATRTGGTGGTGKTACGCATTTGGTTTCAGTATTTTCATTCGAGAAGATAACACCAATAACAAATCGAAACTAATTAATTTTTTAACAAACCACTAGGGGCCGTTAGTGCAGTACCATCCTTGAGGGAAAGACTGGTACAATTAGCTAACGAGTCCAATTAACTTCGAAGCAAAAGTAACACCCACAAGGGACTTTCAGTTTACACGTATCTCATTTAACATTTGTCATATTTTGTGGTCACAAACCCAAACAGAAAACTGTGTCACTCAATGGYTTATGACCCGGACAGATTTGGCTTATGACCCGGACAGCCATGTTGGAAGTGTTTCTACAGTTTCTAGCCATATTAGGTAAACGTTTGACGAGAGCACAGTGGAAGGAACTGTGTATTTTCCATTGGTGAAGTGCGGTCCGGTTAACGCTACAAAGGGAGGGAGAATGCTATAGTGGAATCGAGTATCGCTAAAAGAAGGAATTAGGAAGACTGTACAATTCTACAGCAGCCCYATAATRATATTATCGATAACTATTTCCAGCTCTCTAAGCGTGATAGTTTTCGCAAGCTATGTAATTAACTTTACCTGTCTTTTAACGTGAACAACGGATCGACACATACAGAATTATAGAATTATATAGTTTACCAGATCGTCCTCATGTGGAGATTCGACTGTAGCTTATTATGTATACTGCAGTCAAAAGATCACTTCAGTAAACTTGTCACCAACGCCTATAAAGATGTTGTGTGCTTTGCGTTATAGTCAGAACCGACCTACAACTAGACCTGTCCTCTTCTTATTTAGGAATGAATGAACGAGACCCCTTCAAACGTCTTCATCACTTTGTCCTAGCCTTCCACTATATTACTTGAAAAAGTTCGGGAATCGATTCTGCTGGCTGAACAAATCCATATATCAATGAAATTTTTCTTTGTCTGGTTAGTCACTGGAAAACACCTTTAATCTCCTCTTATCGGAAAATGATTTGTTTTTACACAAAACTTTTTTTAATGCAGCTTAATGTTTTTAATACAGCTTAAAGTTCTTAATACAACTTTTTTTTAACCAAGTTAATTACCATAGAGCTTGCAGGAGCTTTTATTAAACTAACTGAAATGCACAGGAACCTCTCCTTATGGACAACAGTTTCATGAAAGACTTCTTCATTACAACAGCATTATGGCAGGGTGGCAA